GTAAAGGAAATCAGCTTTTACCCCATGACAAAGCTGGTCCTGAACCCTTAGCTCGTTGGCAGTGGTACTGAGCCCACTTCTGCTTAAATAACAACTGGGTGCTATAATCCAGATGAGGCATTTGGACGCCATCATTCCAAGATGGCACTCCACATTTGCAGCATGGATCACCCCAGCTAGGCCAGTGCTCTTCTCATCCCTGAGCCCAGATATCCCCAGCATCAACAGTACTCAGACTTCGCTTTCCTCTTGTGGAGGAGAGACTCTTCAAGGACTTTTAGTTTTACAAGCCCTACCTCATTGCTCCTCCCCAACCTCACGCCCCACAGTCTAGACTCCACGTTTGGCCATCAGAAAACTTTCCATTCATTACTTGCTCTTTGGCCTCATCATCTTTAAAAGCAACAACAACAACAAGAAATTTTAAGCACCTATTGGGAATAGAGAACCACTGAAGAATTTTAAGCATGTGTGTGACACGATCAGTTTTTCATTTTCAAAAGATCGTTTGATTGTAGTGTGCAGGGCTGGAGATGCAAGTACAGCCAGGAACTTGTGGTCACCCAGCTGAGAGACTGTAAAGCCTCAATTACACAGTAAGAGCGAGTGAAGAGAAGCAGACTGGACTTGCTCCCTATTGGATGCGGAAGTGGGAGACAGCAAAATGGCTGTAAGGTTTCTGGCTGGGACATTGTCAGAGCGGGATGCCTCTTCCCCACTCCTCTGCTTCTGTGAAGGACTTTCCCCAAAACACTGCTGGCCTTTTGTCCAGTCCTTGTTCCCGTCCTGAGATGGAGTAAGTTACCTGGTTAATGGGCGGTAGCCATTTGTCCATGTTTCTTAGAGTGAAGTGCTTAGGGTGCAGTTAGTGTGAGGGGTCCACTCCTTTTCTCCTGCCTCTCCATCCTTGAGCGCTGAGAGCACTGGTCCTCTCTGCACACCCGGATGACCTGCACTTGAAGGCTGGAAACTGGCAAGCCCATTCTCCTAATCTCTAGTCTCCAAATTACTGCTTCTCTGTAATCAGGGTGATATTTTGGACTGCTGACTTTTGGAGCTAATTTCTCAGTTGGTTCAGATCTCAGTCAGGAAAAGAGAGCTATCAATACTTTTTAAGGGCACCCTCCCCACACTTAAAGCCCCAAAGCTGTGTTGGTCTAAGGTGCCTATGGGACATACAGGTGATGCTGTCCAGGGGAGACAGCTGGACCGAGGGGCTTGGAACTCAGGAGAGGCCTGGCTAGAGACAGAGTTGGAAGCCGTAGGCTGGATGAGATGACTGGGGGGAGTGGCAAGAGCAGTGGTCAGTGCTGACTTGCATCCATCCCCAGTGACTCTTGTAAAATGCAGAGGGCCGGGCTTCCCTGGTGGCGCAGTGGTTGAGAGTCTCCCTGCCGATGCAGGGGACACGGGTTCGTGCCCCAGTCCGGGAAGATCCCGCAGACCGCAGAGCGGCGGGGCCCATGAGCCATGGCCGCTGAGCCTACGCGTCCGGAGCCTGTGCTCCGCAACGGGAGAGGCCACAACAGTGAGAGGCCTGCGTACCACAAAAGAAAAAAAAAAAAAAAATGGAGAGGGTCAGGCCCCAACTCTGGAGACGGTATATCAGTAAGTCTGGGCTGGTGACAGGAGTCTGTGTTTTCTAAAATAAGCTCAGACATGATTCTGACGCTCACTGAGCAGGGTTGAGGAGCCCTGGTGAGAGTGGGAAGTTCGAAGACAGGCCATAGGACCCACTCAAGGGATGTGTGTGTCTGGGTGTAGCAGGGATTGTTGATCAAAAGCTATTCAATAATGACCTGTGACTGGTGACATCATTAACAGAAAGGGCTTCCCGGGCAATACAAACTAGGGCCTGGACAGTACACAACCTTGTTACAGAAGAGACAAGCTCATTTCAACTATGAGATGATGTTCTAAAGAAATATATTTAAATGATTGTGCATTCTTGAGAACACAATGAGTTTTTGTTTTATTTTGTTTTCTAGCAGGATGGCCAGATCTCACAGTTCTAATTAGCCTACATTTCTAGTACTGTATAATTGATTACTTGCCTCCAGAATGAAAGGGGAAAGGGCATCTTGGCTTAAGCAGTAAAAAGGATTATGAGAAATTCACTTGAGTCCATCTTGGGACACCATCTGGAGAAAAGAAATGGAATCCCTTGATTGCTTAATTTAAGGAATTAAATATAGTTTAAATCCTTGATTTAACTATAAAAATGGGGTTACATTTACACTCCTTTAAAGTATTTGTGTGACCCTGGGAAAATTACTCGAGGCCTCTGTGCCTCATTCAGTTTCCTCATCTGTAAAATGGGGAAAATAACAAAACTCGTCTCATAAGATCTTTGTAAGGATTAAACGAGACAATACATGGGAAGCATATAGCATAGTGCTCTGGGCACATACCAAACATTCAATAAATATCAGCTGAAAAAGTTTTAGACCAATAACTAAACAGCACTACTGCTTACAGACAGTACTAGCTTAAAACTCAGTGCTTCTAGCACAGGAGCAGCATAGCATGATTTCAACTTAATGCATATTACTCAGGCCTGTAAGAGCCAGGGAATTTTCCTGGGCTGGGAAATAGACCACTTTCATGACAGAGCACACTCCTTGGCTATTTGAAAGGTTAGCTTCAAAGATCACTTTGAAAACTCACTTCCTCAGGAACTTATTTGGGCCTGTCTGGATGGCAACATAGCCCAGCTTGGGAAGTGTCTGCCTTGTTTTGTGAGGCGAAGGGATAAAAATAAGGAGGCCTCGGAAGCACTGTGATCCAACAGTGCTGATCAAACAATTATTCACCCATCAGTTCAATAAATGAGTATCTACTCCATGCTGAGCAAAGTGCTAGGTGTTGGGAATACAACAGTAAATAAGTTCCTTGTCTCCAAGGAGCCTGTGTTTTAGTGAAAGGACAGACATACAAATATGTGCTACCTTTTAAATGCACATTTTGTATGCACAAAATGCCATGGGAGCAGAGGGGAAGGGGACCCCTTCAGACCACCCAGGCAATTGGACAGATGGTGACATTAATTATTTGAACTGGGGCTCCAAGAAGAGAAGAAGACGTTTAGAGGAGAAGGTAATGAGTTTGGCTTTTGTGATGTTGTCTAAAGCACTCGTGCAACATCCAAACCAAGATGTCCAGAAGCAGTTGAATGAGTGAGTCTAAAGCTAAGGAGAGAGGTCAAGGTTAGAGACGCAGACTTGGAGGTTATTAGCTGATGGGCATATGGATGATAAACTGTCTTGGAAGAATGTTAGAGCTGAGTGATACTGTGGAAGACTAACATTTCAAGGGCAGGCAGAGGAAGAGGGGCCAGAAAGGAAAACGAAGAAAGAATAGAGAGGAAGAACAGGCGCCCAGAGATAATGAGCAGAAACAAAAAATCAGGAGAGGATGTTCAAGATAGTCTCAGTATTTTCAAAATATAACTTTAATGACAGAGTTAGTTAGCTACTCTTCCATAAAGGATTGCCCTATTTTCCAAGAATTTGCAGTGTCTTACACGTGTGTTAAAAGATTGAGAAAATAAATTAGAACATTATAATGCACACTTGACACTAAAACTACCGAGCACAATATAACTTTTAGATAGTTCGGAAGGCACTGAGGGATTTTTTTCAGTGCCTCAGGGTATCATTATGAACTCTAATTATTATTGTTCTGTTCAACTGTGGGAGCACTGATAGATGGAGAGTTAATTGCCCTCTGGTTAAACCAACTTTGACTCTTAATGGGAAGGCTGACTAGGAGCAAAAGAGAGAGGGTATGGGGGCTTCACTGGTGGCGCAGTGGTTGAGAGTCCGCCTGCCGATGCAGGGGACGCGGGTTCGTGCCCTGGTCCGGGAGGATCCCACA